TGTTGTGTACGTGTCGAGTCTGAATGAAGTAATCGATGTGATGTCCATTGCGGCTTCTGAAATCTTATCATTTTAAATTGAATTAACCTTTTTATCTGAATGACCATTTACTGCAATGACTTAACTTAACAACATTATAAATTCTAGGCAATTCCAAATACTTGTACTATGCATATATGTGAAACAACGTCTTAGTAACTTGTAGCAGAACTGTCGACAAAATAATGTCAACCTTATATGAGAAATGATTAGCCTTTAAGTGAACAATTTCGTAAGAAGTACTAGCTTCAAATTTGTATGTCAAGTGGACCTACATTTTTCTTTCTACTGATAGTAAGGTGGAATGTGACATACCCAGGTCCAGTCTCCTGACCTACATAGTAATGGTCTTCAACGCATCACCAGTACTCTTTCTCGTTTTTCAAGACTTACTTAATTTTGTTCTTGTCAAAATGCAGGTTTTGACCTATTTCCCGTATTTGATTTGCAATTACCGTATAATTTCATGAATGAAATTAATTTTATATGTTTATACACTGATGCTGTTGATTCGGGGTTTTCCGTTTTGTGTTTTAAATATTAAACTTATTATCAAAACGTACGTACTGAAATTTAAAATCCTATTCCGAACAAAGCAATTAAGTGATTTATATATATATAATTAATAAGAAATAGTTGCAGCGACTATTCATACACAAGGCAAGGATTATGTGTATCATTCATCCGAGAAGGTTTTGAATATTTCATTTCATTTGTTTTTTAATCCATCGTCAAAACGATATTTTGCCCAACAACCATTTTCTCATTACCGTTAACATTTTACATTACATTACAACTGTTGGATGTGTTGACCATAAACCATGATGATCCGTGCTCTCCGAGGTGTAGTTATCAATTAAAGACACCAAGAAAGATCGAAAAGGAATAATGATATGAAATTATAAATTTGCAATTTACATTTGATACATTTTCGTAATTATTGACAGTAAGAAAATTTAAGAAATATATTTCGGTATAGTATCTTTCATACGAAAATGAAAATCGCACATTACTGATCTTATGAAGTGGAACTAAGTTATTGCCAGCGATTTGTATGGTGATTATTCTGTTAAATTTCTCATTTGAAAACCTATGATATAAATAAAGTTATTTTTATTAAACCCTGACAAAAAGGTTAAGACTCAAAGGCTAAGTAAGTAATAACTTTAATTCATTCACTGAAAATAAATTCTAGCTGTTGTGTCATCGATCATATTTTGTATACATAAGCTGGCATGAAACATGCAACTCCGTGTCCTGTCACAAGTGGTGATATCAATAACGTCCACTAATTACCGAGCTTATAATTAGCTGGCATGCTTGACCGAACGTAACGCTTATGGCTTTAAGGTGAGGTGTAAATTCCATCCCTTTATATATATAGATTCGTGTCTACTACCTCTTACCCATCGTGTACCTTACTTTAACAGGACGAGTAAACCCGCAGCTGTGAAATATGTATCGTCTATCTCTTACACCAGCTCGGGGCCTTCTCACGTGCCCTTGTAAAGCTACAGGCACAGTGTGTGCATACATATACAATACAACATATACAGTAAGGTCAAATCAGGATTTTAAAATGATAACTGCGGAGTTTCTAAAATTCGGATATATATATATCTCTTCCTATACTGCGATCAGTTTAGCTCCTCAAAGTATATTTCATTGTGAATATACTTCCCAAAATTCATACTTTCATATCGTATTCGTTATTATCATACACACTGCATTTAGGACGGACCCTTTTAAACTGAATACGTCAAAATTATTTTTAAAAGCCCTTATAATCACATGGAGCAAAATAATTTGTGGTTACAGATTTAAAAAATATTATACGAGTTGAAGTAAAACGGCATTCTTTTTCGAATGCCATTTACAACACAAATCAAATTTATATCTAATCTTATGATATATCTTTTTTAAATATCCCAATCAGAATAATATGCAGAAGTCGCCGTTTTGAAAGGTGTCCTTAATATGCAGGTCCAAAATGGGCATTAAGATTATCTGTCCTATATCGTCACCACAACACATGAATGAGAGATAGAACGCTCTCTTAATGGGTAAGCTTAATCCAAACAATGCGGATTTTATGTAGTATGAATATATTTAGCATGGTGCATCTGTCATCAGCTCGGAGACATGAGGCGAGGTCCTTTCACTTCAAAACGTAAAACCTATTGATGGTGAACGGAAACTGGTCGGCAACTTTGCTTTAGTGCAAATCTGCGTGTTGGCCAGTCTCGTATTGTCTGGTGGGAAGAGCGCCCTGAACAAACACCATTGTTAGACTCTCAGGCAACGTGATCGTGTGAAGGATTCGATACCCTCATCTGCTTCACAGGCTTACAAATGCCGTGTTTAAACAAACTGTATTACAATTACACAAAACATACAAGAAAAGTAAATCTTTGTATTGTTTAGATATTAAATTTTAAAAAAATAATAAATAATATTGTGTATATTAGAATATGTTTGTATCACTGTACGTTTGATATGAGGTGAAACTTGAATGAATATTCAGTATGTCTGTACTTTCATGTTAATACTGTTTAAGTGACAAAGTTAAGTTATGTGAACACATACTGATCACTACTAATCGGATGCCTCCCAACCTCATACGGATACCGTTTACTTGCAAGAGGATCAACATGGTTCAGTCATACCAAGGTTTTTTCACATTGAGGATATTTTATATTTGAAAGTGCTGAGCGAGAATAGGTTAATTGCATCTAATACTCATTGTCGTACTTCTATCGTTTACGAAACATGAAACAAACAATAAATGGTTATTCGGTGGTGACGTATTTGATACGGGTATCATAGTTGTGTTTTGGACCTTAAGTTTGCAGCGATTCGGCGACTGTTTTCAGCCTTGTAACGTTTTTTATAACGTTTATAATTGTTTGGTCAAATCTAATTTTCAAGTGTATACTTTCTTTGGCCCAGCTGTTTATGCCAGTGTTGGTGCCATTTTACCGGAATGAAGTACTACCCAATTGTCTATGTCCCGTTTATGCACTCTTTATTATCATTGAGAAGATTGTTTTTGTTTAAAGGATATATTTCCTTTGTGGATATGTAGTATATTTAAATTTTCCATTATGAGAATTATGTTTTGATAAATAATTATAATAGGTAACTAGAGTATCGACATAATGTTGCTTGCAATCAAGATGAATCTGTGTGTATTGTATCGAAATGGTTTTACAATTATGGAAAATATTCAGAAACTTATTGGGTTTGTTTTTTTCCATTTCAAACATCTGTATTTAATGTGTTTAGTTTTATAATCGCTATATCATGAAGATTATGCTATTCTGCTGATAAAATAAAACAGACTGGGTGCTGTTCGTTAATCTACACAGTGGCAATTTAGGTTAAGCATAACAATAATGATAAAAATTGCCTCGTACATAATGAATTCTAGCGAGATTCTATCACTCATTCAATGTGTTAAGCGTTTGATCATTTCGCATTTATTAGACTTCAATTAAAGTAATCAGTATAAACTAATAATATTTGTTGTAAAAAGTGTTTTATCATGTTATATTTAATTAACACAAACGTTGAGTGAAATCTAATGTATGTTTGTACTCGCTATATGACATGAACACTACTTAATACCGATTGAGACAACAGACAAAGAAATTGTACGAGCAATGTATCTGTTGAAATGAGATTAACCATGATACAAACGCTAATAATGTTTTATTAGTTTTTAAAAGTTATCTAATTATTTAAATAGTACATACAGATTTTGAATTCACCAATGTCAGAGTTTGTTTCTCCACATTATATTTAAAATCAGCTAAGGGAGGGAGTTATGTGGTACAATTTTGAAACAATGAAATAGTTCTCTTCTGTCCTTTTGCATGTGAGTGTGTGAGTGAGGGAGTGTGGGCATCTTTAAACATAGCGCATGCTACCCAAGTTCTTAATCATATCGAATTATAATCCTTAATAAGTATGTTAATATTTGTTTTAACGATACAATCCTAGCATGTTGGTGCAGATCGACACATTGCAACAGCCATTAAGCCAACATGAACAATTAAAATGGCTGTAGGCTGCGATGTATATAAACCTGCCCCTGAACCATCTCATAAACGACAAGAACTCAGTTGACATCACTAGATTATGTGTGACAAGCTAAACCGTGGTACGTGTTCTTGGAGTCTTACACGAAGCCTTCACGGTGCACCTGTTTCGGAGACAATGGAATCCTCAGTGACTAGAAATTTATGACAGGAGTCATAAAAGATACAAAAATCCTTGTAAAGTACATGAACAGGAATGTGAGAAGCATGGCAATGGTTAAATACTGACGATGCTTTACTTGATTACTGATAAACAAATACATTCTCGTGTCCCTTCCAAAGCTTGAGCAGAAGTTCTGCCAGTGTGAGCGCCAAGATCAAAACACTTTATAGCTGTATTAAATAAGGTCACATGTATTTTATAAGCGTCACAGAAATATATGAACTTAAGTCCAACAAATACTTGTATAATTTTGAAACTGTTTAAATCCTGAGAAAACTCTTCCTTGTATTTGTGTGTGTATATTCTTAAAAGCATTATCATGCGAAAGTATATAATTCTAGATTTGAAGTAAACGTATCTAACCAATGATTAGTTTTTATCCACGAATGAAATTAACATTGGGTCCGGCAGACGAATATTTATGAATCAGTTCTGATTTAAGAAACAATCTTATATCCGGCCTCTCTCGGCGAAATGACAAATTTTAATTTTGTGATTGGTGGTTATCTTAATCTTGATGAAAATGAAAGATGATCTCCAAATTGGGGGTTTAAATGATTATGAGAGTGTTACAGAATTACACAATGAATAATCAGCCTTCAGTTGTTATGAGAATCGACAGCGCGACAGCTTCACTCAGTGTCACTGACCGACAAAAACATATACAAGAACATGCAGAAAAGAAAGAAACTACCATGATGAGTATCGTATTTTCCATTTATTTTACTTACACAAAACACAATCTCTCACAGACGGCATCTACTGAGCATGTTTATATCCATGGACATGTCCCGTGCAAATGTCTGCGTCACACTTTAGTTTGTACCTCATTGTCACATTGTCACTGAGGGTAGCACGTTGCACTGAGCAATATATAGTTTCCATGGCGACACTGACCATGGGGCAGTGTTAGTTTTGGGTGTGGTGGCCCTGGTCTTCTATAGTTCTACCCGACTCTATCTCTACCTACATCCGGGTGCCATCCTCATACTGTTGACCTTATCGCCAAAGAACCTTGACCGACACAAATGTACCTTGAACACGTACCCCACAGTTTGTTCAGATGGGGTGGGAGACCGCATGTTCGCCCTCAACAGATCCCGGGTCCCGGCAGCTCGCACTGCATATCTGTCTACCCGCACCTGTGTGGTCACACCTTGTCATTGGTGCAGTGTTTGCAGGGTGGGGAGCCCGGGGGTGGGGGGTACACGGGAGCACACTTATCCATGCCTACAGCTGTGGTTGGTAGTCTCGGGAAGGCAGAGTAGGCATCGAAACAGGGGGGACTCTGGTTCATGCATGATATCATCCTTCTCATCTCTTCAAGGGCGTTAGCTTGCATCAGTATATAGTTCTTGGCCAGCAACAAGGTTGCAATTTTGGAAAGTTTTCTCACGGACGGACTGTGAGCGTAGGGTATAACTGAACGCAGTTCGTCAAGCGCGTCGTTAAGGTCGTGCATGCGACGTCTCTCTCTGGCGTTGATGTTGAGACGGACGACCTTTGTCTCCCCAGACTTCGACTTCCTGGTCCGTACTTTCCCTAGAAGGTCCCGTTCCGAATAGCCCTCTGGCAACTCTCCATCCTCCCCGCGCTTGGACAAGGTACTGTCATCGCTCCACGCACCACCTTCATCATCGTCATGTTTATCTTCGTATTCTCCGTCTAAGTCCTGTTCCTTGACCCGATCCCTGGAAGCAGGGTGGCCGACGCTGACATAGTCGTCGTCGCCGCTGTCGTTGTCGCTGTACTGTCCACCGGCGCCCCCGATCTGTTTCGTGGCCTGTGTGAGAGAAGCTAAATAGCCACTGCCCGGCATGCCTTGACCACACCGAGATTCAAAGTCCGACTTCACAGATTCGCTAAAACACGGAAACTCCATCACACGTGTAAAGTTCTACGAAGTCCCTGTAAAATCCCCGCTCCCGTTTCGAGCCAGCGCCCGTGGGAGGACTATCCGAACAGGAGATGGTCGACAAAGATGAGCAAAGTTTCTACACAAATTACCGGCAGTTTTCGGGTGCCGGGCTGGGTAGGCGGGTGGTGTCTGAGACGCTCTCACAATGTAATCCGTCCGACACGCAGGCAATCGCTTAACATGGCAGCAAAAAGGAATCGTATTAACAAATTAATTGAAGTGTTTGAGGCTGTGCGGTAAGCGAGCTCCCATTGGTTGGGGAAAGAATCCAGAAGTGACAAGCGCAAATAGAGTAGCGGCCTGCGGCAGGGGGGTGGGGCGAGGCAGATGGGGGGGTGGGGCGAGGCAGGTGGGGGAGGGGGACTCGGGCTAGGGAGGTGTGTGTTTGGGATGGGGGGCTAATCAACTCAGTAGCAGGAAGCACTGGTATCAACTGCGTGAATACTTCTCTATTCACAGACACGAATGGCTATTTTTACAGGAATATCGACTCCTATCTCCTGAGATTGCTTGTCGCTAACCAAATCCACTTGAAGTATTTCCCGGTCGTAATGAGGAACAATAAAGGCAGTTTGATAGCCAGACGATCAGCCGGGGGATGAGAGGGCTAAGTGGCCGGCTAAATGCACACGGCATTAGAAACTGTTACACAAATACCCTAACATCAAATTCACAACCCAATTTGCTAATACCATAACATAAACAACTCAAATTATTTTTTTTCGACCAAATCACAACTAAGAGTATAACATTTCTTCAAGCGCGTGAAATCTATTTCATCATTCGTCCTCTGAGATGTCTTTTTGTGGATTTATATATTATGGTAATATTCCACCCCATTACCATTCCTGGAAGTATAGAAACGGTTAAGACTGTTGGTTATATATAGAAATATCTCAGTCCTACCACTGAATATTTTCTTCTTCAGTTCACACAAAAAATGAGATCGTCAAATCAGACCTATCCCAAAATTAGTTTTCGTGGACCCGTAACGTTTGGCTGACCCTCGTGGCGTATTAATCACACACTGTACACCAACGGACAGGTTTACATGGCTGCCAGACTATTCTAAATTGCACATAGGTCCTGACACATCCTCCGATATCACACTAAACTAGTGTCGTGATGTATTGCTCTGCATCCCCATACTTGTCATCATATAGCACTCTGTTTATCCCCATGAAATATCACTGTATCTCATGGATCATATTCAGTCCCTGTTATAGCAGTCCGCACTGACTAGATGTATCTGGTAGTAAAACACGGATATTCCTCGTGAGGTGAGGTGAAATTGTGTTTAACGTCGCGTCCAAGATTATTGCACTTATATAGCGACGTGCATGCACGTCTGTGTGTGTGTGGCTGCTTGTATTAGTCCGGACTGATGCCGATTTATAGTGCTAGCTCACTGAGATACCATGCCGCAGTTTAACATGAATACCCCACTCAGACACAGTATACTGAATCCGAGCCGACCAGTCCTTGTTTAGCCCCTTAATGCCGAGCGCCAGACAGGGTAACAATAAGTACAATCTTTTAACGTCTTTTGGTATCACGCTGCCGGGGATCGAACGCTCTCCGGGCGGACGCTCTACCAGTAGATCACGGGACGGTCTTATTCTTCGTGAAATAAATGTCTATACAATGTGCGGGACAGTTACGGTCTTACTCCGAGACAAAAGATTTTACGATTTCACACTTACACAAACCTAGTGTTGACGCCGTGTGTGGAGGCTTGTTATTCCATTTAAATAAATATATGATAGGATTTCAGTTACATGTACTTCACTTTGGTAAATACAAATACGTTAAATTATGCATATCTTAGGCAACTAGACGCTCGCATCGCCGCATACGATTTATCAATTAACCGAGTTTTTGGATGCCAATATATGCTGTCAGAAACCTTGCAATCACATTTCCTAAACAATATTATTAAATGTAGCCGTCTTCATTTATATGTCATTGCATTGTCTCATCAGAAAACGGCTTCATTTATATGGCATTGCTTTGAGTCATCTGAAGAGGGCACCATCTATATGTCATTGCATTTTATCATCAGAAGACGGCTTCATTTATATGTCATTGTATTGTGTTATCCCAAGACTGCTACATTTATATGTCATTGTATTGTGTTATCCCAAGACCGCTACATTTATATGTCATTGTATTGTGTTATCCCAAGACCGCTACAGTTATATGTCATTGTATTGTGTTATCCCAAGACCGGTACAGTTATACGTCATTGTATTGTGTTATCCCAAGACTGCTACATTTATATGTCATTGTATTGTGTTATCCCAAGACGGCTACATTTATATGTCATTGTATTGTGTTATCCCAAGACTGCTACATTTATATATCATCGTATGGTGTTATCCCAATACTGCTACATTTATATGGCATTGTATTGTGTTATCCCAAGAATGCTACATTTATATGGCATTGTATTGTGTTATCCCGAGACGGCTACATTTATATGTCATTGTATTGTGTTACCCCAAGACTGCTACATTTACATGTCATTGTATTGTGTTATCCCAAGACGGCTGCATCTATATATTATTATCATTGCAATGTATCATCTGAAGAGGGCATCATTATATGCCATTGCGTTGTGCCATCAGAGGTCTACATGTATATGCCATTGCATTGTGTTATCAGCTGACGACTGTATTTATATAGCATTGCATGGTGTCATCAGAAGGCGGCTTCGTTTATATATCATTGCATTGTGTCACCACACGACGAGTACACTTATATGCCATATAAACGTATTCATCTTAAGATGACACAATGACACAATACTAGGCAGAAGGATGTTTTCGAATTTGTACTGACACATGTTTTAGGGTATATTATTTCAATCACCTTCCTTGATATAGTATGATACTACATTCCCAATATCCACCATCGATATACAGTGTGAAACTACAATGCATATACCCTTCCATAGATAAGTATAATACTGCGATGCCAATATCCCCTCCCAGATAGCAGCCACCATTAATATATTTTATGATACTACAAGACATATATACCCTCCTTGATATAGTTATATACTACAAGGCCTCAATCCCCGAACTGATATAGTATGATACTACATTCCCCATATTCACCATTGATATGTCTATTCCCTCTCTGGCATAGCATGATACTACAAGACCTCTATTCCCTCTATGGTATAGCAAGATACTACAAGGCATATATTCCCTCCCTGGTATAGCATGATACATCAAGGCCTCTATTCCCTCTCGGGTATAGAAAGATACTACAAGGCCTCTATTCCCTCCCTGGTATATCATTAAACTACAAGGCCTCTATTACCACTCTAGTATAGCAAGATCCTACATGGCCTCTATTCCCTCCCTGGCATAGCATGATACTACAAGGCCTCTATTCCCTCTCTGGCATAGAAAGATACTACAAGGCCTCTATTCCCTCGCTAGCATAGCATGATACTACAAGGCCTCTATTCCCTCTCTAGCATAGCATGATACTACAAGGAATATATTCCCTCCTTGGTATAGCATGATACTACAAGGCCTCTATTCCCTCTCCGGTATAGCATGATACTTCAAGGAATATATTCCCTCCTTGGTATAGCATGATACATCAAGGCCTCTATTCCCTCTCTAGCATAGCATGATACTACAAGGCCTCTATTCCCTCTATGGCATAGCAAGATACTCCAAGGCCTATATCTCCTCCCTGGTATAGCAATATACTACAAGACCTCTATTCCCTCTATGGCATAGCATGATACTACAAGACCTCTATTCCCTCTATGGTATAGCAAGATACTACAAGGCCTCTATTCCCTCTCTAGCATAGCATGATACTACAAGGCCTCTATTCCCTCTCCGGTATAGCATGATACTATAAGGCCTATATCTCCTCCCTGGTATAGCAAGATACTACGAGGAATATATCTTCTCCCTGGTATAGCAAGACACTACAAGGCCTATATCTCCTCCCTGGTATAGCAAGACACTACAAGGTATATATCCCCTCCCTGGTATAGCAAGACACTACAAGGAATATATCCCCTCCCTGGTATAGAAAGACACTACAAGGCCTATATCCCCTCCCTGGTATAGCAAGACACTACAAGGAATATATCTCCTCCCTGGTATAGCAAGAAACTACAAGGAATATATCTCATCCCTGGTATATCGTGATACAACAAGGCCTATATCTCATCCCTGGTATAGCAAGATACTACAAGGAATATATCTCCTCCCTGGTATATCGTGATACTTCAAAACCTCTATCCCCTCCGTGATATAACATGTCTAGAGGTAACATGGCTTCAGGAAACATGCTCCATTGTTAACGTTGTAGCCTCTTCCGGACAGCCCATGTCAAATGATGCTTTGTACAAAATTTAATCAAATGTGACGCATTCAATTGAATTACGTGTGGCATGGCGATGTCCCGCTGTTATGGAGGACTATGACGCTACACATGCCCCCTCTCCACGGCCAGGGGGTCCCTAGAGACAGGACGTGATCAATACCAGGCCCCACTTATCTAATATAGCGGCTTTTAGGGGACAATTGGAAAGTAATGTGGAATCATTTCTTTCAAGCTAAAGCGACTTGCAAAGAGAATATTGGAGTGTTGTGACCTTTGAACTATAAAATTGGAATCGTGTGCAGCATTAGAGTCCAGTCAAAATTGAAATGAAGTTGAAAAAATGTGAGTGAGGAAGTGGGTGAGTGAGTGAGTTGGTAAAAATGAGGGAGTGACAATGTGTGAGTGTGTGTGAAGTACGTGTATATGACGTGACCGTTCACTGAAGGTGGAGATGCTGGTCCTGATGCTGTACCTAGAGAGGTATGTGTAACATTGAGATATACACTGGTGTTCTGTCGTTGTAGTGAGACGTGCAAGGTGAGGTAGAGGCGGGTGTCTGACGTTGTAATGAGGCTTCTAACGGGTTTCCTGACGTTGCAATGAGACGTGAAGTAGTGACGTAGAGTCGGGTGTCTGACGTTAGCAATGAGAGGTGTAACAGTGAGGTAGAGACGGGTGTCTGACGTTGCAATGAGACGTGTAACAGGGAGGTAGAGACGGGTGTCTGATGTTGCAATGAGAGGTGTAACAGTGAGGTAGAGACGGCTGTCTGACGTTGCAATGAGAGGTGTAACAGTGACGTAGAGTCGGGTGTCTGACGTTGCAATGAGAGGTGTAACAGTGAGGTAGAGACGGGTGTCTGATGTTGCAATGAGACGTGTAGTAGTGACGTAGAGACGGGTGTCTGACGTTGCAATGAGAGGTGTAACAGTGAGGTAGAGACGGGTGTCTGACGTTGCAATGAGAGGTGTAACAGTGACGTAGAGACGGGTGTCTGATGTTGCAATGAGAGGTGTAACAGTGAGGTAGAGACGGGTGTCTGATGTTGCAATGAGAGGTGTAGTAGTGACGTAGAGACGGGTGTCTGACGTTGCAATGAGAGGTGTAACAGTGAGGTAGAGACGGGTGTCTGATGTTGCAATGAGAGGTGTAGTAGTGACGTAGAGACGGGTGTCTGACGTTGCAATGAGAGGTGTAACAGTGAGGTAGAGACGGGTGTCTGATGTTGCAATGAGAGGTGTAGTAGTGACGTAGAGACGGGTGTCTGACGTTGCACTGAGAGGTGTAACAGTGAGGTAGAGACGGGTGTCTGATGTTGCAATGAGAGGTGTAACAGTGACATAGAGACGGGTGTCTGACGTTGCAATGAGAGGTGTAACAGTGAGGTAGAGTCGGGTGTCTGACGTTGCAATGAGACGTGTAGTAGTGACGTAGAGACGGGTGTCTGACGTCGCACTGAGAGGTGTAACAGTGAGGTAGAGACGGGTGTCTGATGTTGCAATGAGAGGTGTAACAGTGAGGTAGAGACGGCTGTCTGACGTTGCAATGAGACGTGTAACAGTGAGGTAGAGAAGGGTGTCCTGACGTTGCAATGAGACGTGTAGTAGTGACGTAGGGATGGGTGTCTGACGTTGCAATGAGAGGTGTAACAGTGAGGTAGAGACGGTTGTCTGACGTTGCAATGAGACGTGTAACTGTGAGGTAGAGACGGGTGTCTGACGTTGCAGTGAGAGGTGTAACAGTGAGGTAGAGACGGGTGTCTGACGATGCAATGAGAGGTGTAACAGTGAGGTAGAGACGGGTGTCTGATGTTGTGGTGAGAGGTGTAACAGTGAGGTAGGGATGGGTGTCTGACGTTGCAATGAGAGGTGTAACAATGAGGCATAGACGGGTGTCTGACGTTAGCAATTAGAGGTGTAACAGTGAGGTAGAGACGGGTGTCTGACGTTGCAATCAGACGTGTAACAGTGAGGTAGAGACGGGTGTCTGACGTTGCAATGAGACGTGTAACAATGAGGTAGAGACGGCTGTCTGACGTTGCGATGAGACGTGTAACAGTGAGGCAGAGACGGGTGTCTGACGTTGCAATGAGACGTGTAACAATGAGGTAGAGACGGCTGTCTGACGTTGCGATGAGACGTGTAACAGTGAGGTAGAGACGGGTGTCTGACGTTGCAATTAGAGGTGTAACAGTGAGGTAGAGACGGATGTCTGACGTTGCAATGAGAGATGTAACAGTGAGGTAGAGACGGGTGTCTGACGTTGCAATGAGAGGTGTAACAGTGAGGTAGAGACGGGTGTCTGACGTTGCAATGAGAGGTGTAACAGGGAGGTAGAGACGGGTGTCTGACGTTGCAATGAGAGGTGTAACAGGGAGGTAGAGACGGGTGTCTGACGTTGCAATGAGAGGTGTAACAGGGAGGTAGAGATCGGTACCCTGACGTTGTCGTGACACAAATGTAATAGTGAGGTAGAGATTGGTGTTATAAGAGGGTAGAGAGGACGGCACGACTGTAGAGAGGGTGGCTTGGTGTGAGAAGCCGGGGTGTCGCCAACTATCCGAGAACAATAGAGTTGAGTGTCTCTATCTGCGGACTGTGTGTCGGGGGAGTCACCGATCAAAACTTATCCTGGAGCCTGTCTCTCAGACACGTACCCGTGTAAGTGATGAACGCTCAGCGATTTGTTGGGAGTGAAATGTTGAGGGTGTGTGCGAGAGATTACTGGTTTGAACAAGGCTCCCGACCCTGCACCTCTCCCCTTACACACAGCGGCGCAACAGAAGGCAAGACACGGACAAATTCAATATTACCAAAATTAATTTATTAAAAGTTGGTTAATTTAAACTTGCAGCGTATTTTGTTCGGTCGTCTCACCTCGTGTTTACCCCAGCACACGCCATATGGCATCGACTCTCACAGAAGGGCCGCTCTAGTTTCATTTCTTAAAAATGAATTAAAACTTCTTTTCATGAGCTTTAAGACTTGCTGAGTGTAGCTGTTTTGACGAAGAACATGTGTTTACAGGCCGAGTCCGGAGCAGGGAGAATAGGACAACCTCGGCAGCACTAGTTGGGCTATTCTTGTGGTTTGTATTTCTTTCCGTGCAGGGCCTGCTGACGTCCCCCCACCCACAGGCACCCTGCCCCCACCCACAGGCAACCGTCTACACCCAACTACCACGGTTTTAATTACATCGTTACATTTACCCAGTCAGAGGGTCGGTGCTACACCGTCCCGTCACAATACGGCCACACACTCCACCCTCCCTGTATGCAACACCCCCCTCAAAGCCCCTTCTGCCCCCACCCCTTCTCTATCACCCCCGCCTCACCTCCTCGCTATACAGACCGTAGCACACGGAGCACCTCTATAGCTATCCCAATAGTACAGGACAAACGCTGAACAATACCTGGCAATACCCTAACATACCCGGACAATATGTCTTCCTACGTCATCAATACCCTGACACTATTTCCCTGGAAACTCACAATACCTGTTGGTTATGAGCACTAGCAGTGATTCCGTGTATTTAATTATTGTGGGAACATTTCGCACCGAGTGCACATGTAATTTGTTAAAAATTAAAAGTGCGTTCTTCGACTTCAGGTTCATAGAAAATATTTTTCATGTATTTCAAATATTTTCAAACAAGGAATCTGTAAGAAGTCGTTTTGTTTGTTTGCAAAGGGCGAAATCATGGTTAGAAACACACTCGTTTGTCAGCCAGTTGGCGCTGATGGATTATCATTGATCGAGAAAAAGAATTTGTCGTGATGGACATGAACCACAACCAGGAAGTGACATGGTCGCCATGGCGAACCTCTTTCTTATAAGCCACCAGATCACACGTCCCTTGTTTTACGCTGCCATGACGTATTCCTTCTTATAAGCCGCCAGGTCACGCTTCCTTTTTTACGGCGCTATGACGAACCTCTTTCTTATAAGCCGCCAGGTCACACGTCCCTTGTTTTACGCTGCCATGACTTATTCCTTCTTATAAACCACCAGGTCACGAGTCCCTTGTTTTACGCTGCCATGACGTATTCCTTCTTATAACCCGCCTGGTCACACGTCCCTTGTTTTACGCTGCCATGACGTATTCCTTCTTATAAGCCGCAAGGTCACACGTCCCTTGTTTTACGCTGCCATGACGTATTCCTTCTTATAAGCCACCAGGTCACACTTCACTTGTTTTACGCTGCCATGACTTATTTCTTCTTATAAGCCGCAAGGTCACACGTCCCTTGTTTTACGCTGCCATGACGTATTCCTTCTTATAAGCCACCAGGTCACACTTTCCTTGTTTTACGCTGCCATGACTTATTTCTTCTTATAAGCCGCCAGATCACACGTCCCTTGTTTTACGCTGTCATGACGTATTCCTTCCTATAAGCCGTCAGGTCACGCTTCCTTTTTTACGGCGCTATGACGAACCTCTTTCTTATAAGCCGACAGGTCACACGTCCCTTGTTTTACGCTGCAATGACGTATTCCTTCTTATAAGCCACCAGGTCACACGTCCCTTGTTTTACGCTGCCATGACGTATTCCTTCTTATAAGCCGCCAGATCACACGTCCCTTGTTTTACGCTGTCATGACGTATTCCTTCCTATAAGCCGTCAGGTCACGCTTCCTTTTTTACGGCGCTATGACGAACCTCTTTCTTATAAGCCGACAGGTCACACGTCCCTTGTTTTACGCTGCAATGACGTATTCCTTCTTATAAGCCGCCAGGTCACACGTCCCTTGTTTTACGCTGCCATGACTTATTCCTTCTTATAAGCCACCAGGTCACACGTCCCTTGTTTAACGCTGCCATGACGTGATCCTTCTTATAAGCCACCAGGTCACACTTCACTTGTTTTACGCTGCCATGACTTATTCCTTCTTATAAGCCGCAAGGTCACACGTCCCTTGTTTTACGCTGCCATGACGTGATCCTTCTTATAAGCCACCAGGTCACACTTCACTTGTTTTACGCTGCCATGACTTATTCCTTCTTATAAGCCGCTAGGTCAGACTTCCCTTGTTTTACGCTGCCATGACGTATTCCTTCTTATAAGCCACCAGGTCACACTTCACTTGTTTTACGCTGCCATGACTTATTCCTTCTTATAAGCCGCAAGGTCACACGTCCCTTGTTTTACGCTGCCATGACGTGATCCTTCTTATAAGCCACCAGGTCACACTTCACTTGTTTTACGCTGCCATGACTTATTCCTTCTTATAAGCCGCTAGGTCAGACTTCCCTTGTTTTACGCTGCCATGACGTATTCCTTCTTATAAGCCACCAGGTCACACTTCACTTGTTTTACGCTGCCACGGCGAACGTCCTTTGCATTTCCCTAGGTTTACTCCGCCATGTCGAACTTTCCATTGTTTATAAGCTTCCATGACGAACTGATACAACCTTCTAGACCGACACAGCTCTACATACCGTCACAACTGTCCAGATCGACACAACTCACCACACCGACACAAATCTCAACACCGACACAACTCACCACACCGACAAAACTCTCCAGACCAACACAACTTTTGTTTTGATTGTTTGATGTTTTACCCCGCGATCAGCTATATGACGGCGGTCTGTAAAAAATCAAGTCTGGAACAGACAATCCAGTGATTGACATCATGAGCATTGATCCACGTAATTGGTAGAGGATGACATGCATCAACTAAGTCAGCGAGACTGACAATCCGATCTTGTTTGTCGCCTCTCAAGAGACGGCAAGCATGGGTTGCGGAAGACCTATTCTACCCCGGCTCTTCACGGGTACCTACACAACTCACCAAACCCACACAACTCTACCGACTGACACAACTCACGACGCTGACACAACTCGCCTGACCGACACAACTCTGCCTGACCAACACAACTCTGCAGACTGACACAACTCTCCAGACCGACACAATTCTGCAGACCGACACAACTCTGCAGAGCAACACAACTCTGAAGAACGACAAAACTCACCACACCGACACAACTCTGCAGACCAACACAACTCTGCAGACCGACACAACTCACCACACCGACACGACTCTCCACGCTGACACAATACTTCACACAGACAAACATTCCACATCGATGCAACTCACCACACTCATATAACTTTCCACACCGACACAACATTCCACACTAAAACAGCTCTCCACACAGACACGCTTCCCTACACAGACACAATTCCCCACATCGACACAACATTCCAAACCGACACAACTCCCGACACCAACACGCTGAATATATTGACTCGCAAGATGATTATCTGTATAAAACAACAATGAAATTATAAGTTCACTCCTTTTAAGACGAATAACGATGACTATTCTCGATTTCACAAACCATTAAAACACTAAGCCGTCTTTCTAGTATGTATCAGTTGTGTGTGTGTGTGTGTGTGTGCGTGTGGCAAATACCCAAGTAGCCTCAGTGGGTGGAAAAAAGATTAGACACAACATCTCCATTTCATAAACATGAGAAAGCCTTGAATACACAATAATCATAATAAATAAAGTTCAGTCACGTGACCTTTTCTTTTGATTGGAATAGCTGCTTACGAAGGTTGTGCACTGATTGGCTATATAATCAGTGATTAAAAATTCTGACTTTAAAGATATTATTCGATAACCTGATAATAAACATAGAAAATAAAATAAATCGCACTCAGACGAAGCCAAGATTGTTTGAATAGCGTTCAAGCTGGGATGAGCTTGGTGGGGGAGGAGGTGGGAGGGGGGGGGGGGGATAATGAGGAGGGATACGTCGGTGCACATGAGGCGGCAAGCTGGAATTGTCTCCGACACCTCTGAGCACAAGTAGCACCGTACACTGCGAAATTCGTTTTATTTTATGGTAGTGGTGTTATAGCGTAGCGTGCCGTCTGATGACAGGACATCATGGCGGTAATAGTCGCCATCAGTCCCGGGGAGGTTGGCGACACCAGTCACGCCATCGTACACTGAGCTGCACGACAGGGAAACAGCCATATTTGCATCTACTTTCAAGTTTTTACTTCATGATTGTAGCTTTTGTATATCCTTTCTCCGTTGTCGCATCTCTTAAACGTTTCAAACTAGAACTTTATTGTTCCCTACAGTATCGCTGCCTAGAGCGTCGTCGCAGGAAAACAGTTTGTCTGTCTCGCAAACCTCACGTTACCGCCGATGAACATGACAGCCAGGTGCATGTCCAGTCTTTCTGGACGGTATGATGTCTGCAGCAGGTCCTGTCTCAGCGTTTGGAGACGTTGCGGAAAGTCCGACTGCAGTGTGCTGTGCGGCGCGCCTCTCGGCGTGTGCCGTGCCTGACGCCAACACAGTCTAGGTAACTTATGACTTAGGCAAAGAAAATTTTGCTCCTGAATTCTTAATGAAATTCTGTATGTGTCACACGCTCGAATGGAATTATGTAAATTTTGCGCCACCTTCTGCCAACTTAAGAGAAGGCACAACTATATGTTCAGGGCCAGACCTCGCGCCAGGTTGAACGACTTGGCCCACATTGTTCCGCTTGAATTTAAAATAGGATCACTCAATCATATCAAAGTCGTTATTTTAAGCCTGTAGGGGCATTAAAATCTAATAATTTATAGACTGAGAAAAAATAGAGATCCCATGCACTAAATCAGCGGGCTGTAGACAGACTTGAGAAGCCTTTCTTTGCCTCGCCGGGTCTCCTCTTGACACCCACCGCAAACTGCCGTACTGGGACTGTCAGGCGTAACGCGTACCTCGAGGGTGCCGGGCTTGACGTGTATCTTGGGAGAGTCAGACGTAACGCGTACCTCGAGGGTGCCGGGCTTGACGTGTATCTTGGGAGAGTCAGGCGTAACGCGTACCTCGAGCGTGCCGGGCTTGACTTGTATCTTGGGAGAGTCAGACGTAACGCGTACCTCGAGGGTGCCGGGCTTGACGTGTATCTTGGGAGAGTCAGGCGTAA